GGATTCCCATGTAGTCGACTGCGGTTTGAGTCCTGCACCCAGTGACTTAAACTCATACCAGGCACGTGTATGTGCGTGCCCAAGATCCCAAAAGGAGAAAAGAGAAGGGATTGCGGTGTGGCCATCCCCCACGAGGGGTGATTTCTTGCTTTCTGTCTCTCTGTCCCTCTCTGTCTTTCTGGTGAGTGCACACGCCCTATAGCAAAAATTTCTCCAAAAAAAAAAGAAAACTGCAGTTCGAGTCCTGGACCCAGCAACTTAAAACTCACATGTGGCGCGTGTTGCGTGTGTGCCCAAAATCCCAAGAGGAGAATGGAGGAAAAGAGATTGCAAAGTGGCCATCTGTCCTGGGTGTGATTTCTCACTTTCAATCTCTCTGTCTCTCTGGCAGGCACACGTACCTTATAGCAAATATCACTCCTAAAACAAAAACACTTGGTTTTTCTGTACATATTTCTACTGAACAAAGTTATCTCCTGTATACCTCTTCTCTTGCAAACTGCTTCTTCTATTTCCTGTCATTTGACCTAGGTCATCTTTGAGGCCTAGAGGAGGGGACAGCTTATGCCTTCTCTCCTTAGACAGTGACCTCTCTCCTTTCCTCTCTAGAAAGGGACCTTCTATGGCCACAAGAGAAGCTTCTTCTTGGAAGTCTGCAGCAAGGTGGAGGACCCCTTCTGTGGTAATCATCCTAAGCATGACAGTCCCAAAGGAGGCGGGCCACCATTTCAACTTCTTTTTTCATAGACAGTTCCACTCTTACAAGGCAGCATCACAGTGGCTCGGCCACCATCAGCTGCATCTCTGGGACCTTCCAATTCAACGAAAGCAAATTAAGGAGGGTTTCTAGCAATCCACACACTTCAGAGCAGCCCAGAATAGCCAGGAGCCCATTCCAGATCAGTTCCATTGCCATCCTTTCCTAGATTATCTGTGGGAGACTTTGAGAATCACAGAATCACAAGGCGTGTTCCTTCTTCTGACCCTTGATATATATACAAACATTTTTACAAGCTGAATAAGCCTTTTGCCAGCTTTGCAACCCATGTTTGTCTGTCCTTTTTTTAAAAAAAAAAAAAAAAAAAAAAAGAGGTTTTTGCCTTAGAGCATACGTGCTTGCCAGAGAGAGAGAAATGGAAACAGTGAGAGGGGAAGTGAGAAATCACTCCCTGGGCGAATGACCACACTGCAGTCCCTTCTCCTCCATTTTCCTCCAGGGATCTTAGGTATGCATGCACACGTATCTAGTATGATTTTTCAAGCCACTGAATCTGGGAATCAAACTGCTGTAGGCCATGTAGGAGTCCACTACATAACTGCTCTACCATCTAGTCACCATCTAGTCACTGCTCCCCCCATGTTTGTCTTTCTTAAAGACCTGGGAGCCCTCTCTTTGAAATACAGTCATGAGGCCAGCAGGTGGTGTGGTGGTTAGGGCACTGGATTCCCACATGGTTGACTGTGGTTCGAGTCCCAGTCCTGGCAGCTTGCTTTCCTTACTTTCTGTCTCTTTCTTTTCTGTCTCTTTCTTTCTCTCCCTCTCTCTTTCTCTGTCTCTCTCCCTGGTGAGTACACATGCCATATAGCAAGTTTTTAAAAATAATAATAAAATTAAATTAATAATTCTTTTA